CCCCCCCCAGGCCCCCCCCCCCCCCCCCCCCTACCACATGCACTGCCAGCGCAGCTGGGGCCGGTTTCCATAGCAAACCCAGCTGTGCGCTATCACAGTGCAGCTCCAGCTGAGGTCTCCATGGAGACTGGCCCCAGCCATATGGGCAGGAGTCGCTGGGAAATGGAGTCCAGCTGCTGGCTGGATCCACCATTTTGCCCACCCCTGTATTAGTCCAAAGCCAAAAGGTTCAAGATTACTTGCATACTTCATTGGGCTGCACCCCAGCAGAGCCAGCAGTATTTCAAGCCATGGTGACCCCACAACCTAGCACTGGTCAGTATACGTGCACACTCCCGACCCCCACTTCCTCCTGCCAAAAAGGAGCCACGTGCTAATTAGCCCACCATTCACAACTGGAACTGGATGTTCTTGTCACAAGTCCTGGGACGCTCCAAAAAAATGTACATGCAGATGAGGCATGGAACCACCAGGTAAGCTTCACCCCATGGAGGTTAGGGCCATACCAGTCACATGCGACATGCCAAGAGGGGGAGGCAACAGAGCCTCTCATCTACACAGACATTTGGTGACACTTACCAGACATTTAAGGCCGGTAAAGAAACAGAAATCATTGGAAATGGGAAAAAAGGCACTTCTCAGCTCTGGGAGTGAAGAGCAAGTCAAAATGTATTTGATGTAGTGGCTCACCATAACCTGAAAAACAGTCGGTGCTAAGAGGGACTGAGTGCAATGGTCACTAACCTTATTCCAGTGGTTCTCAACTTATTTGCCATAGTAGGCCATACTTGCAGCTCTCAGGGTATTATGTGGGCTGCACCCAAACAACTTACTGCCTGTGTATCAATTTAAAAAATGTTTTGTTTTTCAAAACATTGAGCCACCGCAGTCTACTGATTGGGCTGCGTGTGGCTCATGGGCCACACACAGAAAACCACTTCTGTACTCAGATGGGCTGCACTAACTTAGCCTTGTGGTAGGTTGCGGGCATACTCAGCATGGGCTGCATTCAATCAACTTCAGTTGGTTTCCATGACTGAGCACAGAACAGTTTCATGACACACAGTATATTTAAATGAGAAGGTTTTCCTGTATGTGGCTATAAAATGAAGGGCTTTCCCCACCCCGCTATGCTGATTGTGTGTGTGTAGGGGGTGGTGGACCTCATCTTATATTCAAGTAAATATGGTATTGATTTTTCCCCCCTCCAAGACTATGCAGTCTCCAAAGTAGGTAAAATGTCTTACTATTTGTTTTTAAATAATTGTACTTTAGGAATTAATCATGAACTTCATTATAAATTGGAAGACCAATTAATCAAATCACAATTTACCCAGAAACTTACATTTTGAGGAATAGTTATCAGTGGATGGTCGTTCCACTTGCCTTCATGCTGCCAGGGTTCATGTGCTCTACAGAGAAAACACATCATGAAACAGTGTTACTGGGGTATCTGACATATTGCATACATGGTCTCAGAAAGAACTGGACTATTTTACACTGAACTCGATTTGTCATGGAACTGGAAGTTGTGGCATACTCCCCTTTTCCTTTAAGGCTAAGTTGTAAGTACACAATTGCTCCCAAGAGCTGGAGTTTCAGTTTAAAAAAAAAAAACAAAAACAACAAAAAAAAAAAAACATGCAAAACAAAATGTACTGGAACTATTTCAGGCCTTACTGTTCTTCATCCTCATGTACACTGCAGTCCGAGTAATTGGAGAGTTGGTCTCCACTATCATCCAGCATATCATGGGGAAGGTCTGTCAATAGCTGTTGCAACTGAAATGAAACAAATAATACTTCTTAGATATGCTTTCTTTTAAAAGAACATGGGTATATTGAGTTTAAACTAAAAAGGTGACACATATTATGGGTGCTGAGGAAATACCACATTTGGTTAACACTAATTCGACCTCCACTCAGGGTGCTCACAGGTGTGCAGGGACCTGCTATAATTCATGATGCTTTACATAAAGTGCCATGAGTGCAATCCCCCTCCCCCACAACCCAACAGACTCACCTGTGGGGAGCGGGGCAGGAAATGGAGCCTGACTTTAGGGGAGCAGCTAGCTGAGGAGCCACCTCTCTCCCCAGCCTGCCCCCTCTCCCTCCCCCTCCCCGTTCTGGGGCTGTCAGCAGAAAGAGAGGGGGGAGTGGGGGAAAGGGAAGCCAGCAGCAGTGACCTGCAGGCTGGGGCTTGCATGGCCTGAACCAGGGGAGGGAAGGGATTCGGGGTGGGGGGCACTCCGATCCACTCGCCCCACCTCCAGCTCAGGCTGGACAAACCCCAGCTGGCAGGTCACTGCTGCTGGCTTCTCCCTCCCTACTCCTTTCCCGCTGGCAGCCCCCGGGGGGGGG